CAGAGACGAGCCGCCATTTTACTCACCATAGGTAACATTAACTGCACAATTACATCATGCGATCACCAGAAAAAGTATGATAACTTTATTATTTTTCGTCTCCGGTCCAAAAGTAGGGTATTGTTGAAGTCGTCTCGGTCCCCTCAGTTCAGATAGTCCCGAAAGTCCCATAAGTGGTTATCTATATAATAATTTCCCTAATTGTATTAATATTTTAAATCGTTTGATTTTTTGTATGTTTTTTAATTGGTTGATGATTGATTCTATCAACTAATTTGTCTATTGTTTGATTGTATTAACTTGATTCTTTAGATATCGAACATTAAATAAAGAACATTATGTTAATTTAAGCATACAGAAACGTTGCTGTTGTTTCAGCAGAGATCTTATTTTCACTTTACCGAGTGCCTAATAGATAATTTGCAGATTACCTAGATAATCTGCACATTATCTAGGTAATTTGAGAAATAGAACAATTTTAGCAACTTTAACTGATCACGCTAGCTAATCTGCAGATTAACGAGTTTCCGAGTTTTAGCGGTAACATATACACGAATAATCCGTTCTTCAGCGATTTGATAGTATAAAAATCAATTTAATAATATAAAGACCATGTAAAAATTTCTTTGTAAAGATATATTTAAAAAAAAAAAAAAATTCATGGTCACAATGAATAAAGCGTACCAAAAACTTTCTTTGAACCTAAAGGTATAAATTATACTTCAATTCAATATTTTTTATTAATATCATCTTCGCTCTATTTATCTGTGATATGCCCACATTTATTTGATCATTTGAAGTGGTGCAGTTTCGTGACAATAGTAAAGACAGATATCAATTGAAAGAGAATTATAAGACAAGCGAGACATAAAATCTATAGAAATCGATCCATAGTTTGGAAGATATGATATAAAACAGCTTTCATTATAGTATTCCAATGATAAAAAATGATGACAAACAACATGATTCATCTCGTGAAAGAAAAAAAAAATGATGAAAAATGTCGGTTTTCGTCATCTCAACTGTGAATGTAGACATCAAAAGTGCCATCACTTCGATCTTATAAGTAATGTCTGATATAAAAAAAAACCCCTAATAAAATAAAAAAAAAATCTGTATATATGTTAATACGCCTCTAGAAACCCCGATCATCGTGATTTACAATATGATTGAAACAAATTTGGCGATTTGTTCAATATTGCAACAATGTCTTATTTTATTTTACGAAATCTGCGTGTATTTTTACATCCCAAATAGTTCTATATTACCGAAAGAAAGACGAAAATTTTTACATTTTTACACTAAGATGGGAGGACGTGATGTTTTTCATCTTCTTTTTAGCTTAATAAGCACGGTGCTATTTTCTAAAATTTCTGAAATTTGCAACGAAATTTGAATATAAGGAAAATTAATACTATTAAAATTTGGTGGTTAAACATTGAAAGAGTTGGAGTTAAAAGGGTGTATCTCCAGCAGAGTCAAATTTAATGGCGATTTTACTCGTTGTTAACATTAACAATAATTTATAAACCCACCCCTAATTTAAAAGTTAAACTTTTTACTTCTTCATAATAATTATAAACCATTTTATTAAATAGAATATGATAACAGATGGCACAACCAAAAGCACCCTAGAATCTTAACCAACTTGTTGATGAATTTTTCATATTAGTAATGATGAATATTTTCAAACTTATCATCATTTTAATTTAATCCAGAAGCAAGAGATTACAGAATTTTATACTACAAGGTCCAGCACTCCACGTGCCATTAAAAATTTTTTTTTTTTATATTCTACTTGTAATAAGAAAATAATAATTGTAAAACAATCGTATATTCAAACTGCAGAGTTTGAAAATTATTTTCATTCGTCTATTTATATTTCAAAAAATTTACCAAATTAAATATACTTTAAAACACACAAACGTTTATTTATTTTTGAAAGTCATTATTCTGACAAATTTTTGCAACTTTGTTGGATTTATACAAAAGAAAATTTCATAAAGAATTTTGTCAATTAAAATAAAGTCTTGTATGGTGTTTCTTTTGGTTCATACGTGAAGACGTAAGAATAATTTTTTACATTTTAAGTTATGGTAGATTAAAAACGTTATAATCGAAGATATTTGATACTTTGTATTTTGATCATTTTAAACCATGCGTTTAAAAATTTAGAAGAAAAATAAAATTAAAAAACGATGGATCATTTTATTACTTTATAATAAAAATATTTAAAGCTAGTACCAATATTGATAAAAAAAAGTTTCTTTTTTATGGATTCTGTAACAATTTTTGAGAAATGTTTGAATGAGGATTTTACTTTTTCACTTATGACAATAAATATGTTTATTTTTTTTTGTAAGAATATCGAAAAGTTTTTTAAATATTTCTATGGAATTTTTATTATCTGTTGTTAAAAAAGAAATTATATATAATAATAAAATTGCGAAATACCCTACTCCAATTTATTAGAAAAAATGTATGAACAGATTATGATAAATCTTTCGGGAAGTTAGCCGTGTTAAGAAGGAAGCGAAAAATATAATAGAGATTAATACCTGTTGCTAATCCATTCGCGTCTCTTTAATTTCCTGTTTAAAATACTTGTTTTAGTTTAATTTCTGCGGGACATCACGAGATTAATTAATTTTACACGTGGCAACCGTCGCCTTCTTTCTTTGAATATGATTGAATAACTAGTTTTTGAATTTTGTGTACATTACAGAAGTGTCCATGTTCTTGTTCTTAACTTGTTTTCTTTTATTTCATTTCTTTTTATTCTTCTCTTGGTTATTTCTATGAAAAAAATACAGCTAAATAGGTAAGGAAATTTAAGCAAAGAGTTGCTTAACTTTTTTAGCAGCATTTAGTTAAACCGTGTGAAATGAAGGTTTTATTTTCCTATTTATAACTCTTAGCCATAAAGATTTAAATTTTGTTTTTTAAATATTTGAAAGTTTTAATTTTCCTACTAAATTTTTATTTTTTTCTTTTGTAAAAAAATATGTCCTGTATGCATGTACATGGATGAATAATAAAGTAGGGAGTCGTCAAACTTTATTTTTGAAGAACTGTTTATTAACAGGAAATAATAAATCCTTTCGGCATTTTACGATGTTAAGAAGGAAGTGAAAAATATCAGAACGGATTAATACTTGTCAATCCTTTCATGTCGCTATAACTTCCTGTTACAAACAACCTTTTAAATTTTTTTTCTGTAGTATGTGGCTAGATTAATAAGTAATACACGTGGAAACTATTGCCGTCGAGCTCAAGTAGTTTGAATAAAATTTGGATAAGTTTGTCTTTAATGTTGTGTAAGCTACACAAACACCAGACTTCTTGTAATTCATTTGTTTATTTTTTTTATTTAGTTTTGTTTTTATTTACCAGTCGTTTTTATGCACGAAATACAACTAAATAGGTAAAAAAACTTCCGGTAACGAGTTGTTCATATTTCACTGAAACATTTGATGGAGCCATGTCTTATTATGTTTTATTAGAAATTTTTTTTATTTTAAGCATTCAATTTTAAGTAAGAGAAATAAATATTTTAAACTTCAATCTTTTGGTATGTTTCAAATTTTTAGATAAATGCAATAAATGCATTCTTCCAAGAAAATATTAGAACTTATTTTATTTGAATTATAACTCCGAAAATAGAAAACTGTAAATTCACATGCAAATGTGCAGTTGTTTGTTTAATGACGCAGGTCCGTGTGAAGCTAGTAAAAAATGAATTTTTAAAAGATACATTGTTGAATTTTTTATATTATTATCAGAAACGTTCTTTGAACTTTGAGTTTTTAAAGGGTAAAATAGTTTTAATACTCCTTTACTGTCTATACTTTTCTGGTTTATTCAATTAAATAATATTATTTTTTGTATCAATTATATTTAGTTTATAATTTTTCAAAGTGTTTTTGCCCAAAGAT